GCAGGGTCAGGGTGGGGTTGGGAAGGCAGAGCTGCAGGGCGCCCCAGGAGCTGTGGTCGGGCTGCTCTGGGGCTGCCTAGGGGTGGAAAGGCACAGACAGAGTTTTATTTGGTGTTAAAAGCAGTAATTTATGTAAAATTTATGGGTACATCTGCAGTGTATGTTAAGGGCCACGTGTCTTACTCTGTTGGCAAGTCCTGGCTGCTGAGCTGCTCTGTTGGGAGCCTGCAGATAGCACAGGGTCTGTAGGTAATGGCAACGACCTTAGTAACTTTGTTTTGTACCCCAGGGCAATCCAAAAAGACAGGGTAGATTGCTTGTAAAATACTGCATTTCGGGTTACAGCCTTTGTACACGTGCCAGGGAGCAGGAACTGGTGCCTCCTCCATCTCTCTCCATGGTAAGCATGTAAGTTTCCCCTGGAATTCCATGACTTGTCCTTCCTAAACTCATTGATGTGGAGAGAGAGAAACTCCTCCTCTGTTTCCCTTTGAAGCTGGCCTAAAAAAAGAAAAATGGTTTCATTAAAATTAATTGTGGGGTTAGGAAAACTAATAACCCAAGCAAGTTCCTGAAAGAGGATACCTGAGGTATCCCCTGGCGTGGGAGCTGCTGCGTGTTCAGGGTGTTACTCAGCTTTAACCTCCTGCTTTCAAGGTGCTGCCACTTCCACACTTTTCTAGGCCTGGCCTCTCTCCTTTTTATCTCTCCTGTACCATATTCTTAAATCCCCTTAATTTCTTCTGTCTTTTTTCTTCCTTTAGGAATTTTCAACTTTCTTGTGTTTTGCTTTCACAGACATTTCTTAGTGAATGCACTGAGCAGTGCAGCTGAACAAGATCAAACTTGACAAAGGAGATACTTATTCCCTTATGGAGGTTTGATAATGGATTGATCATCTGCATATTTTGGAAAATAGTTACCATTTGTGAACAGAGGTTAACCCTGCTAAGATAGTTCCACACATGAAATGGTGATGCTAAGGAAAACAAAATCAGGTAGTGAGTCTGGCTGGATCCCTGCATGTTTCAAACTGTCCTTTGTGCCATACTGTGGGCAATTTCCAACAAGGTAGGGCAGGTAGCAAACAGGTAATCTTCAAATGAAGGAGTCAGCGTGTCCAGATAATATAAACAAAATGATTTGTATGTACTGATAAAACACAGAAGCCTAAGGTGAGTGTTTGTCCTATAGCTTCATTGACTTCAATAAGCAAACAGTCATTAGAGTGCAGATAACAGAAAATGCAGCTTGTGTCTCATGGAACCTGGAGGTCATCAGCTCCTAGTGCCATGGCAACTGGTTGTGGTGATCAAGAGGTGCTGCTTCCCTCCCTAAAAACCCAATTCAGTGATGAGCAGTTGGGCAGCACAGTCCTGCAAGAGTTACTGCCCTTTGGATGAGAAATAAAATGTAGCCCTGCACGGTTCTAACCATTACCAAACTACCGCTGCCGTCTCCCAGGGTATTTTAATCCTCTTGCTGCTAACAAATCCTTCGCATTGTCGTCCTAAATTCCACCAGAGTTTCAGTTGAAGTTTTCATCAGACAACGCTTAAACTGAGAGCATGTGGGGAGCTGCCGGGATCCCCTCCAGACGCGAGAAATAAAATGTAGCCCTGCACGGTTCTAACCATTACCAAACTACCGCTGCCGTCTCCCAGGGTATTTTAATCCTCTTGCTGCTAACAAATCCTTCGCATTGTCGTCCTAAATTCCACCAGAGTTTCAGTTGAAGTTTTCATCAGACAACGCTTAAACTGAGAGCATGTGGGGAGCTGCCGGGATCCCCTCCAGACGCGCAGGGGAACTCCGGAGGCCGCGGGAAGGGCTCCCCCGGTACCAAAGAGTATATTTGATTTGGTGACTGAAGTGTAACTCCAGGACATAAGCAGGATTTTTATGTGGAAATGCACCTACAGCCAGAGGCTTTATGTTGCCAGTGTAACTACCTTTATGGAGCCTCTTTTAGGCAGCCACAGGCAAAAGGATCCTAACACCATTTTTACTGGATCTTCCCTGATGCAAGGACTCCAGAGTTTGTTCAAGATGAAAAGGCCTTTGGGCTGACCAGCTCCCACCGGAAGAGAAAGAAGACTAGGAAAAATTGCCTAGGTCTTCAAATCCAGTTGTGTCCTGCTGGAGTTCACCATGCCAAATAACCCTGAACATCAACAGATCAAGCCTTCAAACAAGTTCTTGATCCTTAAATTGGAAGTTAATTTCAGATTCTTATTCTTTGAATAAGTACGAAAATCCTACTAATCCTTCTAAAGCTTTGAGTAAATATTATTCTTCATAAGTGTCTGCAGTGACTCCTGCGCAGTCCTTAGATGAGCCAAGAATTCAAGGAGCGTGATGCCTTCCAACACACTTCCCTCGAAAACACATCTAGATGAGAGCAAAGCTAAAATATTTCCTCCGCTTTAAGGACATTCTCATTAATTTGGGATAATCTCTGACACAGATGTTTACAGAAAATGTTTTATACTATACATCTAACTCCCTCATACATTCTCTGCCACTTTTAAGACCTGTCTTCCCTAACTCACCCCATCTTCTCCTTTATGGCCTGTTAATCTTATAAGCATGATTTTATTAATGTACTCATATCAATAAACTGAAAGGTTGTCCTGTATTTGAACAATGGTTACTTGACACTAATAACAGTACTCACTTTTTTGTTTGTTTGTTTGGGGTTTTTTTTTACTTTTTTTTTTTTTTTTTTTTTTTTTCCAGAGGGAATGTGTTTTTCAAGGTCTGTAGATAAGTTATTTTAAAAGCAAATAGGGACGTTTTTTCATCACGGGTGGGCAGTTCCTTACCACTTAGGCCAGAAAATGACTCCCTAAAAGCAGCACAAGAAATCTTTATTGTGAGTGTGTGATTGTGTAGAGCCCTTCGAAGCACCTTTTGGGTTGTTTGTGGGGGGGGGGTTGGGTTGTTTGTGGGTTTTTTTATGGGTTAAATTATTTCTTTTTATTATTTATTTTTTTTTTAGTTCTTGCTTGGTTTTGTGTTTTCTTGATCCTTGACCCAGGGGCTCAGAAGTCTGGTATCTAGTTACTCTTGATACGATGGATATGAGGATGCTCTCAAGCAGCACACCTCTCAGAAAAAAAGGGGGTTTAAGAAAAAGCTAGTTGTGATAGAGGAATAAACTCTTGGCTTGCAAATTACTCATGTGGTGGTGATGAAATAATGGCAAATCTGGTGAAAGAGTCTTGTGCTTTAGCAACTGGCTGAAGTGCTTACATGTAGTTTTATTTTTCCACTGTAGGTAAAACAATTTTTTAACTGAAAACCTAAGTAAAGCACACTTAGTCATATATTTTTTTCATGTACCTGGGTTGTATATAATGATATAGAACATCACTTGAGTGCCCACCACAGCTACTAGTACAGGATTTTGGGGATAAAAGGAAAAATTAATTCCCTGTTGGCAAAATGTCCCAGTGATGGAAATACAATAAATGAACAGAGCAGAGCTGGCACTGATAGAAAGCTGCATTTGGTCTATGCTGTACAGATGCCTTATGCCTGAAAGCATTATCAGATAGTGAATTAGTTAAATTTTGGTATGTACTAGCCTTTATCCACAAAAGACTAGAGCATCTAGAGCCTCATGTTCTTCTTCAGAAAGTTCCTCAGGATTAGTTTCTAACTGTGCCTGACTTTATACTGTCTCTCTGTTCTTTTTATGACCTGGAGTGTTTGTTTTTTTCTGCACCCCCATAATTCCTCACCAAAAAAAGAGCAACGAATAAAAGCCATGCTGTGGGAGAAAATAGAAACCCCTTTATAATAAAAAGTAAACGCTTTCAGGCTTTGTTAGCAGCCTTTAGCTTGAGCATAAAGGCAGAAGATGGGAGTGCTAAGGGTTAGAAAACACCCCTGGCATCATTCATTTCTTGAGAAGGTGGAAAATCCTGACCTCTCCCAGCAGGCTGGATGCTCACAGCTCGAGCAGTGCTGGTGACTGCAGGGTTTCCTACCCGGCTGCCCTGGTGCTAGGGGTGCTGTCAGGTTGGCTTGAGGCTGGGTGAACTGGTGTAGAGTGCTGGTGGAAGTTGCTGTGTCCATCCTGGGGGGCCACGGAGCTGCTCTGCCAGCATCATCCCAGGGGTTTGAAAAGGGGCGCGCAGCCCCACAGGCACTGGCTCCCCTTTGCCTTTCCCTGAGCTGCAGCTGCTGGTCCCTGCGGTCCTGCCTTCCGAGCTCCAAACACGTGCTCTCAGTTTATTTGCCAAGGCAGCCGCGTCATTTTACTCGGTTTTCTTCAACGTTAGAGCTGACGTAAATGCTCTAACCCATGAGAAATATGTGCCACAAAGGTTCCACGTCCTTGCGGGGAGGGTAAGAAAGATAATGATCATTACCAGAAACTGTACCTGGGCATTGCTTCGTGGCCTCAGGGGACCGAGTCTGCTGCTTGGCCTTGAGATAAATAGGTTGTGCTTGCTGCTTTTGTTTTTTCTTTTTTTTTTAAGTTATCTTTTTGTCTGGTTGTTATCTTTTTCAGAGAATAGATGGTTGCAGTGGATTATGAAAAAAGGGAAATGAGAACTCTCTAAATAGGGCACGCTCTGCTCAGTTCTGCTAGAGGAAATGGAGTTCCTTCTCTTTTTTGCTATTAGCAAGCATGAGGCAGAGAGAATAAAAATGCAGGACCTAACCATGGAAAAGTTATTTTTCACTACTACTTGGAAATCTGGATGATCGTAGTTTGTTTCTTTTTTTGAGTTGTCATGTTTTTTTCTTTCTGCAAAAAATCCCCTGTTATCTCAGCCTTGTGATTACTAGTTTTTCTTTCCATGAAGCCTGTGAAGCAAATGATCATATGAGTATAAACCAGTCCTTCTGCTTGGGCTGGTCTGCCATGGCTTTATTTGTTTTGCTTTTTTTAATAGACTGCTAGAGAACACTGTGAAATTATCATCGTTGGTAAACACGGGTTCGAGAACCATGACGACTATAGGGATTATATTGAGACATTTTTGATGGTTTTGTGTGATGTAACCAGGATAAATACAAGGTAAGTGCTTCTAGACATTTATGTGTTGAAAACTATTTGTGTAAGTATGTTAATAACTGACCATGCATATGTTTTTGCCTTGAACAGAGTAACTCTCTCTGGCTTAAAGTAGGAACCTGGGGTTGGGAAGGGATTTGTTGGGATATCGAACCTGGTTTCTTGTAGTGAAAGTCCACTTCAGCAAAATGGTAAAGATAGATCTGTAAAAATTATTGTTAAGGCTAGTGAGGACAGAACAAACTGCTGAAAACTGCTTCAGAAGGTCATTACTTGTGTGATAACTCAGTTTCTGACTTTTTTCTGAAGCTGGTGAGAATTTCAGTTCAAGTCAAGTTCTGGTCAGTTATTTACAAAAAAGAAGGATTGTGTATCTCGTGACTTGTGTTTTTTGCAACGATGCTAACAGATGCTTCTTACTAATAGAATGATCTTGCTTCATGGCCTTCTCTTCTGGACAGCTTGCATAAGTTGCACACTGGGGACAAACTAATGCAGTATGTTTATATCTCTCTGTGTCATTCATTTCCAAATAATGAACTCCTTCATCTGTATTCAGAGTGCTCTTTCATTTCTGCATATCCAGCAAAATATTACTAGTTTTGTGCTTCCTTGCTGTTCCTCTAACAAAAAGCTTTATCAAAGTAAATTCCAAGAATTTACAGGGGAGGTTTGCTCTAAACAAAATTTCACTAGCAAAGTACTTTTAAATCTAACTCTATAATGATGAGCTGTCCACCACCCTAATCACTGCTTTCTCTACTTTGCTTAAACAAATGTAGGTGACAAGTGTTTTCAGGTTTGTTTGTTTCTTTTTTTTCAGGAGTGGTTTTGCAAAGTGGACAGTAATGGAGTATATGAGCACGGGTAGTGATAGTAAAGAGGAGATTGACTTGTTGCTAACTAATTTAAATATGTCTGAGGTGATAGACATCATGGAAAACCTTTATCCAGGTGGAGACCTTGCAGTCTATGAAGACGGCTTAATTACAATGTGTGAAGAGGCAAATCAAAATGAAGAACGTGCGGAATCTTTACTCTTTTGTGAAAGGGATGTTTCTTTGACATCCTCTGTCAAATATGGGACTGTGGAAGATCTGCTTGCGTTTGCAAACCAGGTGTCTAACACTGCAAAACAGTGTAAAGGATGCAGACAGCAAGAATCTGGAATCCTCTTGAATATGGTATGTCTCTCTTATTTTTGCTTGGAAATTAGTAGACCTTTGGAGTTAGAAGCTAATCTAAATAAAGGTCACCCCCCAGTCCCAGGAGTAACAGTCAGGCTGTAGTTCCTTGTGCAACCTGGGACTTGAGGGGATGGATCTCTGAAGTCATCAAGTCTAGCCCCTGCAGTCTCAGGCAGCTATGAAGAAAGATCTTTTGTTCAGAAAGATCCACCCTATGTTGCCTCTTGGTATCCCTGGAGATTAGAAAACATTTCCCAACATTGAATACAAACGTAAGACATGCAATAAGAAAGCAGAAGCCACATGTATGGTGGCTTATAGATCTGGGAGGCTGCAAGGGTTTTCCAGTGCCTTGTGTTCACACAGTAAAAAATAATTTCTTATGCAAAACTCTTAAATAAAGGTCCAGGATCTATTTGGTATAGTTACTGAATTCGCTGCACAAAATTTAAAAAGTAATGTAAAGAGAAGAAGTGTATAGTATCAAATGTGACTTTCAGAATTGCAATATTATGTAATATCACACACTGCAAAATTCAATGATAGATGAGTTGTTTTGAAATATGTTCATTTTTTCCCAAAGATTATTTGTGTTTTTCAAGCATCTGCAGATGCTAGTGACATGGGACTTCTATTTAAAATCAGTTGCTCTAGGAACAATCAATCATGAAATGGAAGTTTATTCATATATGTTTATTCTGCTGCTTTATTTCAATATGATGTCCTACATCTATCATCTTAAATATATTGCATGTATTGTGTTTTATGTGTGAACATGTTTGTGGTTACTCAGATGTGAAATAGCACAGGGTACTGCTGTATTCTGATTTGAAGGGAACATTGCAGTATTGCAAAAGTCACTTTTTAAACTCTGTGACATTGAAATGACACTTACTAATATTAAATGTTCCCTGTACTTAGTATAGACACCATACTACATACTCGTGGTTGTTTTGCTTGCATGCTATTTCTACAGATGCATACAATTGGTATGAACCAAGTATTATTAGGCACACGTGATCCCATTAAGCAACTGAGGTGGAGGCAGGGCATTACCTGCACATGCATTTTAGCAGGTGCATCTACACTGTAAATATCTACAGTATTGTAGTTAAGATCAGGAGTGTTTCTGCTTGTCTGGGGACCCGCATGACTGCACCGTGCCTTGAGTCACAAAAGGTCTTGGAGTGCACAAGCTGAATTTCTTTCAGTTGAAATTAAACTGGTGGATGCGTTACGACCACAAACCAACATTTACTCCACAGAATCAGGGCAGGAACTAGTCCTGAAAGGCTCCTGAAAATGTGAATAGTGTGGTGGTCCTTGCTCTCTTGCTCGACCAATCCATTCCGCTCAGTCTGTGTTACTTCCCAGGGTAGGTGTAACCCATGTGCATTAGCTAGTCTTAACCCAAAGCAAGCTGATGAGGTGTGTGGGTTGTTAGTCTTTACCTTGGCTCTGATAAGTATGGGAGGCTCAATCTGTGTATCCTAAGCAAAATACTTGTTACTGAAAGACACACAGTCATCAATAGTTAAGAATTTATTCTACCCAAAATTAAGAACTTTAAAGGATTGACTTAATTCATATGGATACTAGCCACAAATGACAGTTTTGGCAGTCAAGAAGATACTTCCCTAATTGAGAAACATGAAAGCAGTTAAAGCACAGAAAGATTATGTGCATTACATCTTGAAAAGAAATCTGAACCAAATAGTGTTCCTCATATGCTGTTACCTTACAAAGGGTAGCTCAAGGGCTGGGTATGTGAGATCATGTGACAGGCATGAAATGATAAGTGTCCTTTGTCTGCTTTTGTGTATCTTCAAGAGTCTCAAAAAAGTAGCAGTAAACAGGTTAATGATACTGCAGTTGCTGACAATACTGTATATCACTGGACAAATTAGAAGCATAAGTACAGGAAACATTACTAATTCTTCAGCTGAGAGAATATTAAGAAACTGAAGAAGTAGCATTAAACCTCAAGCAGTACTCACATGGCTGTAGTTTGAGAGAGTTACCTCTCTTGAGTTAAAAGAGTTTGGTCTCAGTCGCCTGCAGAGGGAGGGAGCTGTTTCAGAGGCAGATTTAGAGCAAGATACTGACTTAGATGCTCTGAATTGGTTCCTGGAGGAACCCTGCTTGCCCTGTTGACAGTATAGAGAACCAAAGCTCCCAGCATACCCACGTAGAGCACTGTGACTCCCACTCTTTTTTTCTTCTTTTGAACTACTGTATAACACTAGAAAGTGGCTGGCAAAGTCGTGGCAGATTCTTTGACCTTTTAATAAGCAGCAGAAACTCTGATACAAGATGGAAAATTAAAATGGGTTTTCCTAGCAGTGCATGTGATATTAGGAAATGCTGAAACTCTTGCTCACATTGTATAAGATAGCCTGTGAGTAACAGGTATGTGGCATAACAAGTTAGCAGATTACAGGAAGGACAAACATGTGCAGGTAAATCTAATAACAAGAGGTGGGTAATTTCATTAACCCAGCTGCTGTTGTTGTTGTTTCAAGATGATTAATTGCAACTTACACTTTGTAAGTTAGTCACTGGAGAGAAACATGGATGCCTGAGCTGTGAATGAATGCCACACCTCACATACTGTTCCCGTTTGGGGTTTCTAAATAAAGACTGCTGAAC